CAGCGGTTCAAGAGAGAGGAAGGGGGCGGCTGGCAAGCGGGCCCCACTGGCAGCGGCACAAGGGGAAAGGAGAGGGAGGCGCCGGCATGTGGGCCCCACGGCAGTGGCTCAAGGGGGAGGGAGTGGGTGGCGGCATGCTCGGACGGCTCAAGCCGGCCGGCCATGGCGAGGCGACGACGGCGCACGACCGCCGGCGGTGACCGGCGGCGCGGGGAGACGGCGGCGGCCGGCGCGAAGGCGGCGGCGGCAGCCGAAGACGACGGCGCACGCGCGGAGGGCGGCGGCGCTCACGGGGGAGAGGAAAGGAAGGAGGAAAGGGGATTCCTCACCGAGGCGATGGCGGCGACCGGCGTGGGAAGAGACGAGCGGCGATGACCGGCGACGCGGAGGCACGGACGGGCGGCGGCGACACCCTAGGAGAAGATGGAGAGGCGTTAGGAGAGGAGACGACGACCACGGCGGCTTGGATTGCCGGCCGGAGATGGAGGGGAGGGAAAAACTCACCGGCTCGCAAGGGGAGAGGTGCTCCGGTGGGATTCCGCCGACACGAGGCGCCGGCCGGGAAAGCTCTGGCAGCGGCGAAGCTAACGGCGGCGGCGGTTTGGCGCGGCGGCGACTCTAGCGGCGGCGGCTCGCGGCCGAAGGCGGCGGCAAGCGGCGGAGCTCGGGTGCGACGGCGCGTGGGCGGTAGACGGCACGGGAGAGCGCGGCGAGTGCGAAAAACGAGAGAGGAAGACGCGGGGAACGATTTATAGGCGGAGGGGGAGGCGGACGTGGCCGGGAACCCACCCTATTGCGCCGGCGACGTGGGAAGGTGGGGGAGAGAGAGAGGGGTGGGATTCAAATTCGAATCCCGCCCATTTGCGAGGCGCGCGAGGGCGGGAGACGCGGGGGAGAGGCGGCGACGTGGGAGGGGGACGCGGGAGCGGCGCGGCGTGGGCGCGGGAAGAGCGGAGGAGGCGGCGACGTGGCGGATTCGGCGGCGGACGGCCGTCGGAGGCGGGTGGCTGGAGGAAGGAGACGACCTGACAGGTGGGCCCCACCTGTCAGCGTCCCGGAGAGAGGGGAAGGAGAACGGGCCGGCCCACAAGAGAAAGGCCGAGCGCGGGGAGACGGGGTGGACTGGGCCGACGGCCCAAGAAGAGGAAAAAGAAGGAAAAAGGAAAAAAGAAAAAGAAGAAAGGATTTTTCCTGGGATTAAAAATTGCACTTTGGTGATTTTTAATTGGTTAAAATTATTTCCAAGGCTCTGAAAATTCCACTAAAAATCCTGTTAATATATTGTGACATGTAGAATCCAAGAAAAATTCCACATGCCGATTCCGATTATTATTTGCATTTATTAATTAGGGAATTAGCTCTAGGTTAATTAAGATAATTTCTTCGGACGATTTATTTAGCCAAATTTTTAAAGCAAGCAAAAAGGGGGAAAACTTCAGGGCGTGACAATACCCTTGGAATACTTTGAGCTAAAGTGCTACAGTGGTATCCGTGTGCTTGCTGATTTATCTGTGACAATATCAAATACCAACATGGGTATACGGGAATATAAAAGGTTTTGGATTACAAAATTTGGATAAATAAACTTTAATTTTGAGAAAAGGTAAACTATGAAAATCGGAATTAGTTTCATTCAATTTGGAGGACCGGATCTGAAATTTGTTAGTGGAGATTATGATATGGATTCTTGGATTTTTTTTTTTAGCGAAAGACAGAACTAATCGTTTGCAATATATATCAAGAATTTGAATCTAGAACTCCAAAATGAAGAAAAGGGTTAAATATTATTAACAGTAAATTCGTTTAGTTTGATAGGTTACACTTGAATTAGTAAGAATAAAGCATGTTATAGACTTTTGAGGACAAAATTTGCTCTAGGACACTCTAGCTTTAATTTGTGACATTTTCTATAGGGCATTCTAGGTTGTGGTTTTCCCATACGACACCGTAGTTTTATAGTTCTTTGCTAAAAGACACTCCATCTATTATTTTAATATATCACATTCAAATAGAGAGATAAAACTTTGTAAAAGATGATTTTACCTTTGGTTCGCCAAGCATAATTAAAATTTAAACACTTTTTTTGTACAATTTAAACATATTTTTGCAAAATTCAAAACTTGATCCAAAATTACTGAAATCAAATACATTATTTTTTAAAAAAAATGAAAATTGAAATATTATTTTCTGAATTTATACTTTTTTGTAAAACATTTTGATTTCCAGAAATTGGGACAGCTTTTAAATTTTTGCAAATGTTTAGAACCAACTAGAATTTGTTTGGGTTTGAATATGCTAGGTGAACCAAGGGTAAAATCATTTTTTGAAAAGTTTTATCTCTACAATTGAATAGGATATATTAAAATAATATATTGAATGTCTTTTGGCAAAGTACCATAAAACTAAGCAAACGCCACAAAGCTAGAGTCTCCTAAGCTAATTTTGTCAATTTTGAGGTATTTTATAGAGATTGGTGAAAATAAGAAAAGTTTGAAATCCAAAGAATTTAAATCCAAGGATGTCACACATAGAAAAGAAAATGTTGTATGATCGAGACAAAAATCAAGCCTACAAGAGGGGAGGGATGACTGGTAGGACCACCAAAAACCAAAACTTTTAGCGGGGATAAAAGTTACCCTCATATTTGATGAAGTTCAACCGATGGCACCATTAGATTGCCACGGTCTAACCGCATGCATGCCGCTTGTCTGACCGCCACCTTGCCGCCGGTTGGACCACCTCTGACTATCACTTACACCGCCATCACGCCGCCAGTTAGGCCGCCCAATAAACTCTGGTCACCGTTGGGATCCAGAAAAACATGTACCGACAAAACTCAAGAAAGTAAATTAACTTTATTGTATCAATATGTGTTTAAAAGTGCATCTAAAGCAATCATCTCTCAACTCTTGACCTAGTGCTAAAACCTCGAAAGAAACCCTAATTTTTCTCTCCCAAAAAGTCGATATCTTCTAGCCTCAACCCATCATCTATTTATACCCACATTGTGGCTGCCCCTAGCCACAAATCCAACTAGAACTAGGACTCCTAATCACATAGGAAACCTACCAAACGAGGGAAACAATATCCCCATACAACTCTACACTCCAATCTTTCCAAACTTGGAGTCCAATTGAAATTTGACTCCTCTTTCCACATGCACACAACACCACGTGTATACCATATGGAAACCTTCACCTCGACGTGCATTATTCTGTAACCTAAGTATCCCGCGTGATATCCTTGACCGTCTGAACCTCAACTTCTACCAAGCCTATTCCCGATTCATTAACATTTATACTCCCATGGTCTCAAGCAACACCTACACATGTACAACAAGAAACTTCATATCTGAGTACAACTTCACACCAACTTGACCGTCGGGCTACTAGGTCAGTCCGCACCAACACCTCCGGTCTAACTGGTGGCAACCCCCGATCTGACCGGCCTCACAATGCCGACCACTACACTATTCACTGTCCAAAAACACATCACCATATTTTCAACAAGCACTTACATTTAATAATTGTTCATCACAAAGATTAATCATCACATGATTCTACAAAGGTTTAAGATTCAAATATTCAAATCAGAGACATTAAAAAGAAGGAAGTTCTGAAATTAACTTTTTAGAGTTCAAAAATAATTTATGTTTCACTAAATTCAAGAAATCATAAAAAAAAGTTAAAAATAGAAAGTGAAGAATTGACATGATGCAATTTAAAATCTTTGGCTCAAAATTTAAAATTTTGAAGAATTCAGACGTGGGCATCAAGGATTTCATCTTGTACTGCTTCCCCTCCCACCATACATTCGTTCTTAATATAGCATTGGCTTTAGTGATTTTGGCAACTCAATCATCTGAGGTGGATACTCTCCAAGCAGTGTTGAGGATGAGGTTAATTTGTTAACAGCTTGAATATCTCTTATTATTCCAAGTCCTCCTTTAATGGGACGACAAATTAAATATACTTCCAAGTTCTAAGACAAACAGGTTTCTTTGATTCTCTTCCTGATGTCGGCTAGGGATGCAATTAGAGCGGATAAACGGTTTTTTCCCCTCGCTTCGAATTCGCCACTCTAGTTATTTTTTTTCTCTCAAATTTTATACTAGCAATTTATTTTCTTAATTTTTATACTAGTATATACTAAGCGGGATTGCCACTTTAACTCCTGAAATCTTGTTGTCTTTGGAGTAGTGCAGTGGCGAGAATGCCACTCCACGCTGCTAGTTCATTTTTGTGGAGCAATCCGGCAATCTCTCATGAAACATTTGGTTGTGCTCTAACTTGATCAGAAGTGGATTTGAGAGTTGAAGGTACACCAAACAGACCATCTAAAAGCTCAAATGATAGAAGTTAATTTTGAAGTTAATACCTCGGTCTCGAAATATAGCAAGTGCCTAGATTTCTATACTAATTTAAAGGTAGTAGTAGTGAATCTGCTACCACTACCTTTAGCACTAGCGTATGGTCTCCTTGTCGGTGAAACTCACATGCTCAATAAATTTAAACGTTTCATAAAAAAATAATGTCTACACAAAATAATGTCCATTTTATTTGGTATGGTCTTACATGTAGTGAAGGAATTCATATAGTTACAGGGGTTGGAAAGAGACAGACTAGATAATGTTTAAATGATGAGCATGTGCATAGTTAATGCATAGGTAATTACTAGTATAGCTAAAACTCTATATTTTAAGAGATATAATAGTTTTCATAATAAAAAAACCATGGACATATAATAAACAGGATACATATAAATAGACAAGGGAGAGAAAACTGATTTAATGACAACAAAAAGCCTTGGACTTGGAGCATGAGAAAGTTTATCAGCCTTATCATCAGCCCATGTGCACAACGTTCTTCATGGCTTCATGACATGGACCCACCAGAGACTCGGTCAAAGTGTCATGGACCGTACGTCAACAACGTCTAACCTTTTTGGCGCGCCCATGCATGCATGCAATCCACTCCCATGCACGTACGTACACCCCCAGTTTAGCCCTCACGTTCCTTCCCTTCCCAATTTCACTATCTCCACGTGCACGACGGCCTCCTCCGCCGCGGAGAGCACAGCAACCATGGCCGCCGTCGCCGCCGCCGCCGGACTCATCCTAGCTCTCGCCTTCGCGTCGTCGTCGCCGCCCGCCGCCGCGGCGGTCAAGTTCAACGTCACCGAGATCCTGCACGAGTTCCCGGAGTTCTCCGTGTTCAACGGCCTCCTCTCGCAGACGAGGCTCGCCGAGGACGTCAACCTGCGGCCGGCCGTCACCGTCCTCGTCGTCGACGACGCCGCCGCCGGCGCCATCACGTCGCTCCCGGAGGCCACGCAGGGGGAGGTGGTGGCGCTGCAGGTGCTCCTCGACTACTACGACCCCGTCAAGCTGTACAGCCTCAAGGCGAAGACGGCGCTCCTCCCCACGCTGCTCCGGCCGACCGCCGCCGGCGGCGGCGGCGGAGGCGTGGGGCTCGTGAAGTACACCCAGGTCGCCGACGACCAGATGGCGTTCGGCTCCGGCGAGCCCGGCGCGCCGATCGGGTCGCAGCTGGTGAAGGTCGTGGCGTGCCGGCCGTACAACCTCTCCGTCATGCAGGTCAGCGCCCCCATCGTGGCGCCGAGCTTGGGCGGCCCCTCTTCCGGCGGCGGCACGCCGCCGTCTTCTCCGGCGACGGCCAAGAGCGCCGACGACGCGTCGGCCTCCTCGATGACGGACTACGACGACGATCCCATCGCTCCGGCGGCGGTTGATGGTCCGGGAATTGTGGATACGCCGCCGACGAAGACGACATCGCCGTCGACAAACGGGACAAGTGCGGCGGCGGACGGGACAACAACGTCGGCGGGAAGCTGCGCGGTGGTGGCCGGCGCAGGCGTTGGGCTGATGGCGGCGGGGCTCGTGATGTTCATTTCAGTTTAATGTTAATTAATTAGAGGCTTAGACTCCCTTTTTCTTTTCTTGGTTATTAATGCTGATTTAATTACTGTAGCTGTGTTAATTAGTGAGAAGAGAAAAATTAACTTGAGTCCCGTGAACCGCAACAGATGCTGCGATTCCGCAACTATCGAACTGTGCAACCGGCCATACATGCGCGCGGCGCGGTGTCGTCTTTCTCCTTTTGATATCACCGCCGTCGGTGTTGCAGGAGGGCAGGATCATAACCCTGTTGGAGCCGTCACGCACAGCCCTAGATTCAGTTGGAGTTTACTATTTGTTTTCGAGATCGAGCTTCAATTTTTGAATTTTAACCTGCTCCAAAATTTTCCCGTGATGATCAGTTTTTTGAATGGAGGAGACTACAAATTAGTTATCCGATTCTTCAAAAAAAAATAAATGATACCTACCCTCCTAATGCCTTGTTTAGATCAAAATAAAATTTGGCCAAAAACATCACATCAAATGTTTGGACACATGTATAGGACATTAAATGTAGGAAAAAAACCAATTGCACATTTTGCATGTAAATTGCGACACGAATCTTTTAAGCCTAATTACTCCATGATTTGTCAATGTGGTGCTACAGTAAACATTTGCTAATGACGGATTAATTAGGCTTAATAAATTTATCTCGCAGTTTACAGGCGGAATCTATAATTTGTTTTGTTATTAGTCTACGTTTAATACTTCAAATGTGTGTCCGTATACTTCAAAAACTTTACACCCAAGAACTAAACACACCCTAATATAGGCCTTTCGGATCCCCTCCCCACCTCTGTTTTCTATCTCCCCCTTCTCTGATATATGTATATCCACATTTTTACTAAAATTTTAAGCAAGTTTTTCTCCTAGAATACTACTTCATCTGTTTGATATCATAAGTACGTCCACAATATGTGTTACAAGATGTTTTTACTTTGGTCAAAGTCAAACTACTTAAAATTTGACCAAGTTTATAGAAAAAAAAATAGTAATATTTTCAATCCAAGAAAAATTTATTATAAAAATATATTTAATTATTAATTTAATAAAAACTAATTTGGTAATGTAAATATTACTATATTTGTCTATAAACTTAGTCAAATTTGAAGCAGTTTGATTTTGACCAAAGTCAAAATATCTTATAACTTGAAACGGAGAAAGTACAAAAGGAAAGCAATAAGTAAATGAAGCCTTACTAGGTTTAATCAAACTATAAGCATTGTAGAACTAGGAAATACTAGCAAATAACAGGTTATAGTGCTATTACCGAGCAATAAAGGATAAACAATATGATTTATCTCTTTCCCCCTCGTATTGCTAGTGGATTATGGGGGGGGGGGGGGCAAGTTTGACACCCACTTCTATTGTTTTACCATTGTAGCTTTCGTAACAACTAGTAACAACTAATCTAAACCATACTCTTTTTCATTTGGTTGGTAGTAAACATTGTTGATATCCTAAGATGTTTTGACCTTTTGCTATCAAATTTATTTAATTTTGATCAAGTTTATGGCAAAACATAGCAACATTTCCAACACCAATTAAACATATAATCAAAATATATTCAATGTTAGATTTAATAAAACCATATTTAACTTAGAGAAAAGTCAAAAAAAATCTTACAATATGAAATGGAGGGAGCATCTGATTTATGATCCGCTTAAAACCGTTGTGTACGTTGTAATTTATTCTTTATAAGAAGATATAACATGATAATATTTTAATAAAAACATATATGTCCTAAAAACCATTGTTTTATCTCTTATGAAACATAATTTCATCACTTACAAATTTTTCAACTAATGTTTGAGATAGATGCAACAATGACAATTACCTTACGAAACATTAAGTCTCAACGAGTAAAACATGAAAAAAAATCCATATATGAAACATATAATGTATATTCAAACACTTTTTTATTAAAATATTTTTATATCACGTATGAAACATCGAGTTGTAATTATTGAAACATAAAAATACTTCGTGAAACATCTAAAAGAAATTTTACATGCAACAACTATAAATGACCAGGTGAAACATGAGCAAATACTTATTGAAATATTCAATAACACCATGGGCAACATTTATAAAAGATCCACTACAAAAAAAAAGTTAAAAACAATAAAATATAGCCATGTGAGATTTTGTTATAAAGATTTAATTGCAACAGACCAAACAATTGGCTTAGGTCGTAAAACAGATTAGTAACTTAAGATAAAAATTATTTAAACTTTAGTTTAAAAAAGTTTTACATGTATCCAGGAGGAGAGAGAAGGAAGAGAGATCATGATACAATCTTATGATGCATGCATGCAGAGGCACGGCAGATGAGACGACGCTACAGCGATGGAATCAGGGGGAGGTCACCCGGTATTTGGGCCTGGTTCGGGTGCTCAACCGAAAGCATTTTCATGTATCTTTTCTTCATCCTCTCTCTTAAAACTTCTAATTGGCACACTGTCACGCCCAGAAATTCTCGAACCAGAATTTCTAAGCTGAATGTGCATTAAATCCCTGTCCAGGACCAGCCAGGGTACACAAACGACAATTGTTGACATACAGATCCACGTCTTACAAAATGGAAAAGATTGCAAATGCAGCGGAAAAGATAAAAGCGAGCTAAACCGGAAAGCTTGACTTCAGCAGCGAGCGACTCCACTCCACAGGCAATCCTTGACGGCAGCAACGAAACCAACTTTGACAAAACAGCTCCAACTAGGAAGATCTTCAGCTCTTGTGTGGGGAAAAAGAGAGCAAGACTGAGTACTACCCACTGTACTCAGCAAGTCATACCGGAAGAGGAGGTATGATGCAGGATATAACCAAAGGAGGCTAGAGGTTCTTTTGCATAAAGCTAGCATTTAAAAACAGTAGTTGAAGGCAGTAAAACAGTTGTAGTAATTAATCAATATTAACCAAACACTGTCCAACGCTACCCCACGTTGCAACAGGCCCAACCAACCACCTGAACTACACCAGTTCATTAAGCTAAACTAGGGGTGAGACTAATCACGGTGAATCTGGTTGATCGCCCATAACCGCGGGCACGGCTATTCGAATAGTTTTACTCTGGCCAGAGGTGTACAACTGTACCCACAAGACACGATTCCACACATGTCGGCATGCCCCGAAGTATCACCATGATACTGCAAAGGGGGAAATCGTGACAAGACCCTCCACATAACCCTCCCCTAACCATCCACACCACGCTAAGGTTTCACCCCCACCCCTCAAAAGGCAGTGGGCGGTCCCCTCTTGCGCCGCGGTGAATCCGGCAGCTGGACAACCGGACACCCCGGCCGACCCAACTCCGTCACGCCCACCCTCGCCACCGGTGCCTAGGAAAGGGTCGAGCTATACTTCAGATCAAGCAGTTACCCACTCCCGCTTGTGGTAAGCACGGTAAGTCTCCCAGGGTTTCCCGTGAACCGATCCTTAATTGCCATGGGTGCGACCAGCAAAACCATGCACCCACAGCCCACCATTCAGTGTATTTTAATTAACTAACACCATTGCGGTGGCACCAATCTAAAGCTATGCCAATAGACAAAGTCTATGTAATAAGGTGATCCCCATTTGTGTGCTAGTTGAACTAAGCATGGCTAAGCATTTCCTAAACCAACATCTAATCATTTTGATACCCAAGTTATCAATGGCATAGGGTAACCAATATGTGGCTGAGAAATAGGACCCATCCCACGTTACATTGTAAAAGAATGCAACATTTAATAGAAATGCGGGATATTTGTAAATTGGGTACAATATGATCAAACGTATTGCATGACTTGCCTTGCTCTCGAACTGATGAGACCTCAGCAACGTCTTCGAGAAACTGCGGATCGACGAAACGGCCGAAACCTACGCGACAAACAAAGCACACAAGCAAAACATGCTATAAGACTACAGAAACAGGAACAAAACCATTTTTAATGGATTCTTTGCATTTTTCTTGATTTACTGAGACTTGAATGGACTTAAACGGAGCTCGGATGAATTACTTATGAATTTTAGAAGATAAACTGTGTTTTTACTAATAAAGAAAAGTCCTTAATCACTTTATTGCGCAATAAAGCCCAGGGCTGACGTCATCCAAGGGGGGGGGCGGCGCCGACAGGCGGGCCCCGCTTGTCAGCGGCTCAAGAGAGGGGAGAGAGAGGCGCCGGCAAGCGGGCCCCATGGGTCAGCGGCACAAGGTGGCCGGTCCACCGTGGACCGGGACCACGCGGGTGGTCCACCGCCGGTCCACGGGACCGACGGTCCGGATCGGCCGGGAGGCCGATCGGACGGCACGGCGGCGGCTAGGCACGGCTCGGCTCGGCTTCAAAACCGGCCGGCCGGCCATGGCAACCGGCGGCGACGCGCACGGTCGCCGGCGACGGCAATCGGCGGCGTGGGAAGCGACGGAGGACGGGGCGAAAAGCGGCGGCAGCGGCTGAAGGCGACGGCGCACGCGCGAAGGACGGCGGCGCACACGGGAGAGAGGGAAAAAAGGGGAGCGGAGGGGAGCCTCACCGGCGAGCACGGCGACCAAAGCGGAGGATGAAAGGCGGCGGTGACACGGCGACGAGGAGGGGCGGACGGGCGGAGGCGACACCTATAGGAAAGGAGGAGAGGGATTAGGGGTGGAGAGGACGACCGCAACGACCAAAGTGGCCGGCCGGAGATGGATGAAAAAGGAGAGCTCACCGGCGAGCGAGGGAAACGGGGTTTCGGGGGTGATTGGCGGCAACCAAGCGGCGGCCGAGGAGCGGACGGCACCCGCGAGCGCGACGACGGCGGCTTCACGGCGCGGTAGCGGCTTTAGCGGCGTGGCGCGCGGCCGGAGACGGCGGTAGGCGGCGGCGTAAGGGGCGAGCGGCGCGGCGACGATAGGAAGCACGGGAGAGCGCGCCGAATGAGGGAAAACGAAAGAGGGGGCTCGGGAGAGTGCTTTTATGGGCGAGGGAGGGGAGGACGTGGCCCGGGAACCCTCCTCGATTTGCCCGGTCGACCTTGGGGAGGAGAGAGACAGAGGGGGGTGGGATTCGAAATCGAATCCCGCCCTCTCGAGCGCGCGCACGGGCC